TAAGTTATATTGCTCCAGGGTGTGTGGTTCTAATCATTAATTAGGATCTGTGCTTCTGTATGTTAACCTCTATTGACTATTAGGTAGATCACATAATATTATGACGTATACCTACCACATATCCGATTAGCACCCGCATAAATCGACCAATTAGGGAATACTGTTTCACACGAACACGGCAGAAGTAGAATAGCACCTGAAGTATAACTTTCATAAGCAACGCGTCAAAAAGTCAATACAAGGTGAATAAGTGGATTGATATCAATCTACCTTGGGTCGATACCATGGACTAAGAAATACATTATGTCCGTAGTCAATACTTATATTCACTGATAAAGTGATAAATGATAATAAACGTATATTCTAATTTATAATCACCGAATATTGATAGAACTCGAGAAAAACTGAATTCAATGTAATATTATTGGTACCTACTCATAAGGCCATGACGGCATAACATTATAAATAATTATGATTAAAAGTTGATAAAGATTTCGGTCGATTAAACGATAAAACTATATGAGATTGCCATAAGAAAATAGTTAACTTTAATAAATTATCTAGTGTAAAAATGCTAGTAATCAGTAACACGATAATTGTTACTACTTGGCTTCCTGGCACTTGTTATATAAGTAGGTACAAGGTGGTTCACCATCTATTGATTAAAATTTAGAAATTTAAATTAGGAATATGGGCCCTGCTCCAGGCTTACACGAATCACTGGATGATGCCATATGGAACACTCAGAACATCATGTTGATTCACCTATGGGCAATGAGACTTATATACTTTAATATGTCCACCTAAGGAGATAGTTAATGCATTGTATTATTTGTATACCCACATTAAACATTTTGAGTTTATTAAAATTATTAAAAACCAACAAGAGCTCAGCTGTTTTTGGTGCTAGTCCTTCTTATTACTTGTGTTTACCAGCTGTGATATAAAATATGAAAAACGAATAAACGATATTGAACCCATAACCGATGGGCGGGGTTTCGGGATTGTGCCATCGCGCATCGGTAACAAAAACACCTAGCCAGTAGCCACGCACAGCTGACGCCTAGCTGAAATAAGATAAATACATACAAAATTAATTCGATTTAATTATGACATCCATGCGGCATGCGTTCAGTACCTACATAATGTTAGATGGTAGGTATATAGCAAAACAATGTGTGCAAACCCGTTTCAACGTGTTACTTATGTTACGATAAAATAATATATGTGCGAATTAGGTGGAGGCTTATTAAAAACGAGTTATATACCTACACCGCAACGATAACTACACTATCTACACTAAAATGAAATTAGAAAAGACTAAAATATATCAATTCTTGTTTGTCACTGTTTGGTGTTATAACTTATTCAAATATATTTTGTTTGTTTATTTTGTATTTATCATAAATGTTGTATAATATCTGATGACTAATATTAAGTAATAACCAAAACACGGTCTGGCACAAAAACACGAGGAATACCTTGACGAATACCATGAGGTACCAGCATTATTATAAATACTAGTATTTATAATCAATGGTACCAGCTTATACCTACGCGTATCGTAATGTTTTTAGTTCGGGTGTCGACCTGATCGTAATTCTTCATTATTTTTTACCATTATAATCCGCATTCCAACGCCTCAAATTAATACAAATGTTTAAAAATTAAAATCTGAAATCTATTTTTAGACCATTAATATGTTGTCGAAAAAATAAAAACTCTACCCTGTATAGCTGGTACTAGGGTAGATAGCAGTTACCAAGTATAATATACTTGGTTGTTTTAAAAACTCCGAAAGAATTGTTACTAAAATAATATTTTTATTAAGAGGATATCAGCCAGGTAGGTATGAATAACGTTCGCACATATTACAGGTTTTCAAGCTTTATAAGTGTAACGTCCGTGCCCTTTATATAGATACTTCAAGGATCCTTAATTGACAAGGATATTCACATATAATTTTATAGTTTCCAACTTACAAACACTGTGACATATTATTTGAAAGTGGGGGAAGCTGTGTGCAACCTACTCTAATACATCAGATTTAATAAAAATATTGATATTTGTACTTATGAGTTTATGACCCCCATTAATCATATTTAATATTTATTTTTAATCTATATAGTTATTTATTTTTATCAAATGAATTCTAACTACATAATAATATAATATAAAAAAATTGGTCCATTTTTACTATCTTTCTGCATTGGAAATTATTAATGATAATTTTTAATTTGCTATAAATTTCCATCGAAAATACAATATAGGTGCGCACTGTAGCAGTTTAGCCCTACATAATATTAATTACCTACCTACCTATCATAATTATAATATGTCCTTAAAATATAAAATCCAATTTATATACTTTTAATGACTTTAATATTATTATGTATTTGTATTCATTTACCGACAGCCGAGAAGTGACATTGGTGTGTTTGTTTTGATAGTTGTGGTAGGTAATTTTATTTTTTTTTTGTATTAAGGGACAAAAAAGACGTCTGGAACATTTGATAGCTGGTAAAATTGATTTAACGTTAAAAACTGAAACAATGAATAAAAATAAAACTAGTTTTGTCGACCTTCACTTATCTATGTGTTTATTAATTTGTAAATACTTTTCAAACCACTTCAGAAAAATATACAGGGGGATTCACCAAGTATGCTCGCCACCATTTAAAAAAAATAATAATGAATGTATTCAAATTCTAATTTTTGGAATTTTTAGTACCTATTTAGAACCATATTTTCAAACACTTGGATTTTTAACACCAGGGGTTGCCAACCAGTCGATCGTATTAAAGATTAATTAGGTATAAGAATATCGATTGATCATTTGAGTAATCTGAATAGGGTTATTTTTTTGAAATATTTCACCAAACTTTCATGAAATATTTTATGTTAATGAAAGATAAAAAACAAATTTTCATTTAAAACTATAGTAGAATTGTAGAAACTGACTAGAAAGTACATTAAACACCTCTACTCAGTTAAATGATAATGACAAATATTATAGAAATATTTCTTACATAGTACATTATACAAATTACAAAATAATTATCCTTAATATATATACATTATAATATCTTCATTATATTATCATGATCCGGAATTAAATATTGATAATCGCTAATCAGGTATGAAATTAGCATGACCATCTAGTGATGATTTTATGAAACATACCAAAAACAAAGTTTAAAAAAGTCACTCTGCTGTACAGTAGGTTACAAGTGGATCACTGTAATGGATGTTGTTAAATTTGAATTCAATGAAATAATATCATTGTATAAGAAAAACGATTCCGAGCGAAAACGGTCAGTCAGAATTGGATATTACCTACCAAGTATATTTGATGTTATTATTGTGAGTAAAGTAATTTATATTATATAACCTATTTAAGTGGAATCTTGTTTTAAATTTTCAATCCTTAGCTATAAAAGTTGAACATTTTATAAATTTTTAACTACAAAATAATTATTAAATTTTAAATTTGATAAATTTTGTCAAAATTCGAACTAAATGCTTATAACAAAAAATTGTGCCTATGTATTTTTAGTATTGTTACAATATATCAGGAGCCTTGAATTAAATTTTCACACTTTTTTACCCAACAAATAAAATTTTATTGATATTCATAGAAAAAAAACTAAGATAATTGAAAAATGTCAAAATAAGTCAATATATTTGGAAAAGGTTATGGTGTATAGAAAATGCTAATATAAACATTCAGTCAAAATTTCATGTACCTACCCAAAGTTATTTGTTTAAGAGTTGCACCAAAAACCAAAATCGATTTTTTCTATAACAGATTTTTCGTACAAGTTCCCGTTTTTCCTTAGTTTTTCACGGCGCTTTTGAAAACTACTAGAAAATTTTTACTTTTGACCCCCCAAAGTACAAACTAGATTCACTTTCCTATCAGAAAAAATATTGTTGAAGAAAATCTAAGCATTTTTATTTTTTTACTGCCCTAAAAAGTGATGATAGACAAAAAAAAATAAAAAAACACACATCATTGTAAAATAAATACATTCATAGTTCCACTCAGAATCTAAAAAAATTTAAAAGAATATATTTTTCAGTATTTTATTGAAATATTTCAAGAAGTGTGAAAGTTTCAAGTTTAATTCTGTTATGTTTAATATTAAAACGAATTGACTATTATACAATTTAGAAGCAAGAATAGTATCTAGTGAATTACATAATATATAGGTTTTTTTTTTATATTTTACTTTTAAAGCTATACCTTTGAGCGTTTTAAATTATTATAACTCGCAAGTCGCTATAAATGACCAGAGTTAAATAAACAATCACGCAGCGGGTGTCTTCTTAACAGTTTACATGAAAAAAGGTGATTATTAATTTAAAAAATGAATTTAGTATCATTACAGCACTTACAGAAAACAAGACACACTCCTTAAGGCTTAAATGGTATACATAATATAAGTATTTCAAAATAAGGTCATTACTCATTAGACATTATCTATATATACTTCGAAATTCCAAAAATCAGAATTTAAATAGATTCTTTATTAAATGAAAAATGAGGGTGCCATGCTTGGGGAAATCACCTTATATACTATCCAAGTTATGACATATATATACCTAGTTAATTCACAATTGAACTGGATATGCATAATATTTTTCAGTATTCCTACGAGTTACGACCTACCCTTTATAAAAAAAAAACAACTCCGATTAGCTGCATGGTTCAACTCACTAACAATTTTTTTATTATACATTTATACCACATTTACACAATAAACTGCAGGTTGGCAGAGTGGTGGATATCAATATTTATTCTCTAAGCCCACTCGTCTGTAACGATTCGAGACTCGAGTAAAATCCCGTCAGACCACAGCAGCACGCCGCAGTAATTTAGCGAGTCTCGTTGATTCCGGTTGTGATGTCCTATTTCTGATTTTTTTTTATTGGTATTCGCAAATATTACAGCGTGGTGAAAAAGATTAAAGTATTGAAATAAATTTCTTACTTTTAAAATGTTTTCAAAATCATTTAAGCTGATATTATTGTGTTTAACTATAATTTTTAATGAATGTGCAACTCTAACAACATCGACAAATTCAGGATATCCACCTTTATTTGAATCAACATTGGAGTACTTGGGAGAGACTTTACAATGGGAGTCAAAAGAACCCAAGGATGTGATCAATATTTTCTCGGAATACGACTTTGTCGTAGTCGGTGCTGGAAGTGCTGGATCAGTAGTCGCTAGTAGATTGTCTGAAGTAATGTAATCGTTATAATTGCAATTATAGTTAGTCATATTATATGTGACATAATTATTAATGATAATTATTTATGGACAGATTAAAAAATGGAAAGTGTTATTAATCGAAGCTGGAACAAACGCAATACATTTTATGGACGTACCCATAACAGCGCAATTGTTGCAAGCTTCAGAATACAACTGGAAGTATAGGACTATACCGATGAATTCTTCTTGTTTAAGTGAGAAACCGTTATTTTAAGTAACCATATTTTAGTCGTTGTTACATTTATAAAATTTAATAGGTTTCGAAAACCAACGGTGTAAATTTCCCAGAGGAAAAGTAATGGGCGGTAGCAGTATGCTGAATTACATGATATACACACGTGGTAATAAAAGGGACTATGATAATTGGGAGAAAATGGGAAATACAGGTAACTTTCTACAAGACAAAGTTCGTTCGTACTGGATATTATATTTTATACAATTTTAAATGTTTCTATACGCGGTAATAGGATGGAACAACGACAACGTGTTGAAGTATTTTATGAAATCGGAAAATGCAAATCTATCTACTACTGAGATGAATTACCATGGGTATAATGGATTGTTGTCGGTGACCGACGTGCCATATAGGACGCCCATAGCGGATGCTTTTGTGGACGCTGGATCACAGATCGGAATGCCTGTCATCGACCTGAACGGTGAAAAACAAATCGGGATTAATTATATACAGGTAAATAATAGCGAGGTAGATACATCAGAAATACCTATAATTTATAAAGGTAGGTATATAAATAAAATTAATAAGTAGTACAACTATATCGTACATGGAACTTTTGTAAAAAAATATTAACTAGAACAATAATAATACCACTAACAATTTTACACGTTATTCTCGACACATTCAAATTGTCATCGATTCATTTTTTTTTATCGTTTCCATAACCATTTATCAGTGGGGGTAGTTTTATTTAATGACGTTAAATAGTTTTTTGTAATCAATCCCAAACGTTTATTTTTGATATTGCTACCAGGTCCCTATATATACCTAAGTAAATTATATGACTCAAAATGCTTACAGGACTTAGGGCCGATTTCACCAACATAGTTAATCATGATTAAAGTTAACCGGAGTTTTAATCGGCCGAATTTGGCCGGTTAAATAACTGTTATCAGCCGATTAAGCGTTAACCGTGATTAACTGTGTTGGTGAAATCGGCCCTTAGTTAGGTAGTTATTTTGTATTTAGTATTGGACGGAAATTACAATTACTTCTATAAAAATACCTACATTGTTTCCAATAGTTCTAATAATAGTTAGGCACTTACATAATGCATTAAAAATGTCATTAGGTTCATTCATCATTTTAATATTATTTCGTTAAGGCACCTGGTGCCAATGTAATTTTGTACACAAAAATAAACACTAAGAGAATAATGATCCTGTTCTGTAGAATCAATCAAATTTGGTAATTTTTTTTTAACTAATAGAAGGAAAATTCTACAGGCCGTACGAACTCCGTTTTTAAATATTTTAATCTCAAACTTTATAATATGTCTTCAAAAATTATACAATTTTAAGCGTTTTTTTTATTAATAATACTATACCATTATTTGGAATAAAATAAAAATGGGAGTTCAATGCGGCCTTTAGGAAGTCTTTTTCTTTCAGATAAAAAAATAGTTATCAAAATCCTATAATTCTAAAAGGCCTGAGAATTATTCCCGTGAAGTCATTTGTTTCGATATATTACACCCTATCAACCCTCCCCCCCTAAATAGGTATCGGGTAGTAGATTAGCAGAAAAGTATTATAATTTAGGTGGAAACTAAAATAGAACATTTTATAAAATTTGATGAAAATTTGAAAAACTGGCCCCCGAATACTCTGAGCATATAAGTTGTTCACATTCACAAGATACCTATACCTAGTATAGGTATATATAACGAACAGTTCGATGTTGTCTTTGAACATTATTTCTTAATAACAATCGAGGTAATAATACTAAGAAAATTATTATAACCACTTTCCAATAAAAAGTAGTAGTTAGTGTAGTAAAATATACATACAAGGTATGTTTGATTTATAACATGTATAAGATCACGTTTTTTTGTTGAATTTGTTTTTATGATGTCCCTGATACTGCTATAATACCCGGTATTTGCAATCTATAATCAAGAACATTTTAGTTATTTCTAACATACATCTACAACTGGCAATATCATGCTTATAATAAAACATTATTTAGGTGCTTTCTTGTAAACATATTTCAAAAGTCAGATTGAAACCACTGATGCCTTGATACATTACCAATAATATATGATCCACTTCGACATAAATTTAAAATACCTACAAATATAGCTTACATTATTAGTCTAAATATTTTGAATATTTAATTGTGCAAAAAAATTATAATTTGAGAAATAATTGAATATTTCTACGATATTTGAATAATAATAAAATAACACAATTTTTTAATTTATAGTCAAAAAACAATCATGTGAAATCTCGTTTATAGGGGCGCACGTAAACTGTGCCATAAGTACCTTTTTTTAGTTTAAACTCCACCAGGAAAAAAACAAGTGAAATTTGACTCATGTCAACTCCGTCAGTGAAAAAAAATTAGGTAAATTTAGTTTATGTAAACTCTATTAATTAATAAAATCAAGTAACAGTATAACACAAATACCGATATTATTATAAAAAATAACCGTCCTCAATAAATAATAGTTAGGTAAATACCAAAAAATTTAAAAAACTTCAAAATCAAAATCATAATAAGTAATTGTAATAATGATAAAATATGTAGGTAGGTATGTTATGTCATATTAAACGTATGTTATAACTTATAATATTTTGAACTGTGAACTAAAAAGATGTGATACAATTTGTAGATCTTCTTAAAAGTAGAAGTACAACTTTTAATCTAATATAATCCGTTATTATAACTATTTATAGCGTACTCATATCAATTTTTTTTTTTAATTTTTAATTATTGAGTTTATTTGGTTGAGATATATTTATAACATGAATTAATTTTTTGAATAATATACACTGATATTTGATTTCTTATAAAAAATTGTCTTTATAGCTACTACTTTATTATTACATTTACAATTAAATTTCTAGTTTTTAAAAAATAAACAGATAATAAACACATTAACACAATATATTAGGTACTTAGTTATATATAGGCACTTTTAAGGTGACTATATAAAAAAAAAAATTGTTACTGTATATTTGATATTTTTAAATTAAAGCAAGAATAATTTATGAGGATGCTTTTTGTTTACCTGCATAAAATGTTTATCAAGGTTTTTCATTGTAAATAAACAGAAAAAACTAAAAGGTCGAAAATTTCAAGTCTTTACGGTTGTTTCTACAAATTTTGACAAAAACAGGTTTTGCGTAAGTATCCTCGTTTAGTGGCCACGAGAATTTATATCATGTGGTAAACAACAATGAACAAACAATTGATTATTTGATCGATTTATTTATTTATTTATTTAGGTACTTTTTCAAACACATTTAAGCTTAAGCCCACACAATTTAAATCAACTCAAGTACCTATAGTACCGGATTAGTAATAATTCCTGTCTAAAACTTATATGTATTCACATAACTACCCTCGCACTGTCCCCGTTTTACCGGTAATTTCTTTTTATTCTTCCTGATTACTTTAAAAATTATTGTGCATTTCTTAGCTTTGACTCCTAAAATACCATCTACAACTAATTTGTAATCAGAAACCTCAAGCTCAAACTGAGCATTTTTACTGTTCCAAAAGGTGACGATAGACACATAAGAAAAAACACACACACATCATTGTAAAACCAATACATTCATCGCTCCACTGAGAATCTACAACTAACTAAAATTAAATTAAAAAATAATTTTCTTCTTCCAAAAAACTTAATTATAAGTACTATATATTAGACCAGTTTAACATAATTTTTAATTCATGATTTAATTTGGTCCAGCTACTTTTAGATTCTGAGTGAAACGATGAATGTATTGATTTTACAATGATGTGTATTTTATTTTATTTTTTTTTTTTTTGTGTCTGTCATCATGGTTTAGGGGCAGTATACTGCTTCGATTTTCTTCAACCGTATCTTGTTCGAAGGGAAAGTGAATCTAGTTGGTGCATTCGGGAGGTCAAATTTTAAACTCAAAATAGTTTTCACAAGTGCCGGGGAAAACAACATAAAAATTAAGGAAAAACGGGAATTTTTATTCAAAATCGATTTTCCACAAAATCGATTTTAGTTTTTGGATAACTCTAAAACAAATGAATGTATATACATGCAATTTTGACTGAATGTCATATAAGCATTTCTCTACACGATAAATTTCAAATATTATGATTTGTTTTGAACTGTTTAGGAACATTTTCATTTTCCATTTTTTTTTTAGTTTCTTTTCTAAAAATATCAATAAAATTTTATTTGTTGGGTAAAAAAGCTTGAAAATTTAATACAAGGCTCCTAGTATATTGTTTCAAAGGCAGATGAAAAATATTAAAAATCCTTAGTCACAGTTTTTTTTTATTTTAAGTCCAAAAATTAACAAAATATGGAAAAGGCTTCGAAAATTAGCAAATTATTTTGAGTTAAGAATTCGTAAGAATTTTTCTTTTTAAATCTAAGGTTTTAAAATGTAATACAAGATTCCTTATAAGATTATCTACCTACATAAAAAAAAAATGTCTATAAGAAAGTCAAATTAAATTTTTATGAGCGTTTCAAATTCTAATTTTTACAACATGGATATTCACTCGATTTCTCATTATTTTGTTGAAATTCAAAAACGAATAAAATTAAGGAAAAACGGGAATTTTTACGCAAAATCTGTTTTCGAGAAAATCGATTTTGGTTTTTTGTGTAACTCTAAAACAAATGACCGTAGATTAGATACATGAAAATTTCACTGAATTTTTATATTAGCATTTCCTATACACTATACAATTTTGACTCTTTTTGAGCTGTTTACAGACATTTTCAGTTTTCAAATTTTTTAGTTTTTTTTTTTTTAAATATCAATAAAATTTTATCTGTTGGGCCAAAAAGTGTAAAATTTAATACAAGGCTTCTGATATATTGTTACAAATTACAATATCAGTTGAAAAATATTTAAAATACATGGGCACAATTTTTTTTTATATACGCATTTAAAGATCGAATTTTGACAAAATTTATCAAATTTAAAATTGAATAATTATTTTGTAGTTAATAATTTAAAAAATGTTCAACTTTTATATCTAAGAATTGAAAATTTAAAACAAGATTCCACGTATGTAGTTAATTCTGTAACCAAAAAAATCTAAAAATACACAATTTATTTTTAATAGTAATTTTAAGTTAAAATTTGGACGAAATTACATAATAAAAAATAAGTATTTTAAGGTAACTATTTTAGTTATTGTGATTGTATAATATCATTCGTGGGTACTTAAAACTACTAAAGTAGGTACACTATTATATATCTATGATAGTATCAGGGTTTGTTGTCGATATATAAAGCATTATAAGTACCTAATGGTTATTGTAATATGATTAATTTGGAATTTATTATAGGTATCTACTATCTACCTATTATAGGTCAATTTTTTTTTAATACCATAGATAAGTTTATAATATGACTATACTGACATATTGTCTCTGCTCAGAATCATTTTTCTTGTACAATGATATTGTATCATTGAATTAAAATTTAATACCATCCATTATACAGTAACCCACTTGTAACGTTGTAACCTACTGTACAGCAGAGCACCTTTTTATAGTTATGGTCTATAGATACAATAAGATACCTATATGAGTGGGTTTATATACAGGTTTTTATTTTTAAGTTCCCATACTTTAAACCCAAAGCCATAACTGAAAAAAATTTCGGAGAAGGGCCAACATTTTTTTTACTTGGATATTGGACAACTGTCATTTTTAAGTTCAAAAATGAAAACAGTTTTTTAACTTTTAAAATGTTCCAGACCCCTGGACCTCCCCCAGTTACGGCCTTGCACATACCTATGTCGTATCATTGATGAAATTAATAACTATAGGTATTAGATTAAGTACTTATAGGTACTTATAATTGATATAAGCTGATTAGTATTATAATAGTGTATCAGTTATAATATAATTTACCTATACTATTAAGTAAGCAATACATTATTGATTCTGAGTTATTTACGTAGTTATTGATAGATTTAAAACCTTGAATTGTTAGAATGTGGGTGCTAAATACAAATATAAATTATACAAACAGAAGCAAACTAGGTAATATAGTTAACAAACTGACCTTCCTACACAATTTATTTATTTTGACGAATTTTTTTTCAGGCTACAATGAAGAACGGTCGTCGTTTTAGTACAAATACAGCTTTTTTATTTCCAGCAAGAATGAGATCGAACTTACACGTTAAAAAGCACAGCACTGTAACACGAATAATAATAGAAAAAAGTACAAAAAAAACGATAGGAGTAGAATTTGTATCAAATCATAAAAAATATAGAGTATTCGTTCGCAAAGAAGTAATTGTTTCTGGTGGATCCATAAACTCGCCACAGTTACTCATGTTATCGGGAATCGGACCGAAAGAACACTTGAACGATTTAAAAATTCCATTGATAAAAAACTTGCCAGTTGGGGAAAATTTGATGGATCACGTGGCACTGGGAGGTTTGAGCGCTTTGATAAATGATACTATTTCATTGAAAACAGAACGATTACTGAAGAATCCGTTACATATGCATGATTACATCCAAAACTATAATGGTCCGTATACAATACCAGGTGCTGCGGAAGCCTTGGCGTTTTTCGATTTAGACCACCCGAGATCCGCAGACGGACACCCGAACTTAGAATTACTATTAATTTCGGGTCTATTTTCGGACAACCAATACACTCATAAACTGTTTGGTTTGAAATCAGAAATTTATAATAAAGTGTACAAGAGAACCGAAAATATGGATGGCTTTACGGTGTTTCCAATGATTATGCGACCGAAAAGTAAAGGCCGATTGTGGCTAAAAGACGCGAATCCGTCCCATTATCCACTGATCGATCCCAATTACTTTTCTGACGAGACGGACTTGGATGTGGCCGTAGCCGGAGTACGGATTTTCCAACAAATGTTGAAAACCGACGCGATGCGGAAGCTCAACGCCACGTTATTCGACACCCCGTTGCCCGCTTGCGAACGACACAAATTCGACTCGGACGCGTACTGGAAATGCTCCGCGAGACAGATAAGTTTTACTATCTATCACTTGTCGGGCACTTGCAAAATGGGACCTGTGGGTGACCCCACGGCCGTGGTCGACCCCAGATTGCGTGTACACGGCATAAGCGGATTGAGAGTCATCGACGCTTCCGTCATGCCGGAAATACCGGCAGCACACATCAACGCTCCGACGATTATGATCGGCGAAAAGGGCGCGGACATGATTAAAGCAAGACTGGGGTATTAGAATATATGAATAGATAATCATATTACATTAACTAGTCAAATTTGGTTGTACATATCATTACACTTCATTATAATTGAAAACAATGAATGTGTTCAATCGTCCTCGACTGTAATACATATTTTAATTTAATGCGTCTACGAGATTCCTGTATTTTCCAAAGAAAAACAACTTTTTTAATAATCGTAATACCCGGTATCCGGGTTGCTGAATTAACTGCTATTTGCTATTACTTACCTACATATTCAACGTTAAATGTTAAGCAACAAACAAACATACCAAAAGGCTTGAGTGCCTTGATCGGTTATAGTAGATGCTCGTGATGTATATCAAGGCTCTCAGCATTCAACAAACCCGTTTTATTTTTTATCGATCCGTATTTAATATAATTATATTCTGCAGATCAGTACCTAGACACTTGTTTTTTTCTCATTAATCTGTTAACGGACAAGAGTTATTCTCAAAAACCTAATAAAATACCATTATTTTGGGCGCTTTAAATTATTTTTGTTTTTAAAATACAGTTTTGTTATGTTAATGAAGCATTTCTTAAAATGTGTATTATTGTACATATCTAATACCCAAAACTAGTCTACTACACAAATTAATGCCTAGAAGTAGCTTAAATGTTAATGATCTGAAATTCATGGAGAAAGAAATTATGGGTACCTATTTAAATTATTAAATTTAATTAAAACGTTATAAGTGTCTATTTTGAAGAATGCTTATGAACTATGAAGTACACTTCAATGCTTTTGTGGCATGGGACACGGGTAATAACTTCCTATTTAGTTAAAATGTTGCACAGATTATTTTTATGAGTATTTAAATCAGTTTAAAGTGTTAATCTTCAGTTTTTTAAAACCAAATTTTGAATATCAATACCAGTTAATGTTTATTTAAAATTGATCAACTTGATCTATACCTAATGTAAAAATAAATTTAGAAAATCTCACTAAATTAAAGCTACAGAAACACAAACACTGACATTAGAAATATAATACAATAAATTATGACATCATAATTGATAAAATATGACCATGCGATTTAGAACAATTTTCCAGACAATAAAATAAAATAATTGTTACTGAAAAATTGATTTATATATTTATAAATAATTAATAATGTGTATCAAAATGTGAATTTTTGTTTAATACAATGTAATTAAATATTTTATTAAAAGTGGCATTATTTTTATTTTCCTATTGGCCTTGCCTATGTTTATAAATTTATATCTGTTTGTTGTTACCTCTAACTTATTGACAGTCACTCCTTACTGCACCCTGCAAGTAACGAAAATGTATTTAAATTATACTACACCACAACTTTATTATTTCTGATCTGTGCAGTGGACACTTAAATTATAAGTTATAACCAATACTTATTACAGCAATAGAACTAATGATGTGAAAGCTGATTTATTATAAAAATAATCAAATCCATGTTTTGGATGCAGGAAAAAGTGTAAGGTTGACATGCAAGGTATGGCCCAAATGAACAATTTTAATGAATCACCTAAAAGAAAATTCATATTAAAATTAAACAATTTAAATACTTCATGATTAACATATTTTTATTTATTTTAAACAAATTACAAGTTATACATTTTTAAATTGAACAATTAATACAAACTTTAAGATAGAAATTCATTCAACAAATAAATCATGAAAAAATCACTGATGCTATTTACATAGACGTAATAAATTATGATATAGTTTTGGTTATAAAAAGTCATAACTTATAATATATCTATTATAGTAATTCTTCATATGTTACATAAATTATCTACGATTATGAATTTACAATCTTTTTTTATTTTTTTAATTAATTGTATCAACATAAACAATCACTCAAATGTTTATTTCACTTATTTATCTCTTATAATATATGTATGTAGTATGTTACTAATCTAGTCTTAGATACTTCCAGGGTCTGATATTTGAATGTCTTATGCTTCAACCTACATATGAGTTGTTATTATTTTTATTTTACATAATATAAAGCTCTTACAGTCTTACAGCTAATTGAAGTACCTATGTTATAAAATGTTTTTAATTGTTTGCTGTTCAAGCTATTAGTATAGTATTCTAATGATTACAATAAAATACTAAAAAAAAAAAAAACACCAGGAAGTTAACAGACATTATTAATCACTTATTTTGTAAGATTTTATAATTTATAATGAAAACCTAAGACGAAGATGGTTATTATTTGTACTTTTTCTTACAGCGTATTTTATGATAAAAGAGTATGCTACCGGCTTTTTACAGTACCAAATCTTGCACACTTGGATTCAAAATTGCTCCAAAAGGCTTTTAGGACAACAACACCTATTATCCAAAGGAAACGTAATATTAATAGTCATATAAAAATGAAATTATAACGTATAGAAATTATAGAATTACAGAATTTAAATATAGTGTAGATGTAGAAGAAATATAGAATATAAGTTATAACAAGAAGAAAGTATTACAATATAATATATCCATTGCAAAATCTATAAGATATTGATTTTTATAAATTTGTGCATAATACAATTCATATAACATTAAATAAAATAATACATTGAGTAGTAATCTATGTTAACTTACTTTTCATGGTCGGGATAAGGTTTGAGGTTTCAATCCTAATCGGTTAATAACTGCTTTTGGCATGCAATAAGTAGGGTCTATCGGTAAAATGTTATCATATGACATTAGTGACAATGCTGCAAGACCAAAAAGAGTATGAAAAGGATCTGGTTCATCCCCAGGACGATCACTGAATCCACCTCCATCATTATCCTGTTTATAGATCATAAATCATATAATATTATACATAGGTATTATAACCACATATTATGTAGAGCTTTACTTGAGATGCTAAAATAAAAGTTTTTAAATCTTCTTTATCAATCCAATGGTCGCGTCCTAAAATATTTAATGTTGAAAACACCCACCAAGAATAACAAACGTCTGGTAATTTTTCAGGGCGTCCATTAAGTCCACCAGATGGTAATTGCCTTTCAGCTAACCACCAACCCAATGTGTCAGCATCGACTAAATCTAATCGTCCTATAAATGTTAATAATTATAAGTATAGATAACCAGAAAGTACCAAGAGTTTCAAACATTTTTTTTTAATTTTGTTAAATATACAAATTATTATAGATAATATAAATCAAATCAAAAATTAATTGGTATAAACATTTTAATTTTTATATTAACCTTTTGATTTTTTTTTTAAATTTTTGTAGCTCAAATTATATTTGCATATATTAATTTTGTCGAAAATATAAAAGATGCATTCCATAATGTTTAAAATTTAATTGTTACCAAAATATTGTTATTTTCTAAATCAATAAATTATAAATATTAAAAAACACAAATTTCCATTTAAGGTTTTTATAATTATACATGAATAGAATTTTTAGAAGTCAGATAAAAAACATGTATACAATTTAAACGCTCCATTATTATATTGACTCTATTACCTATTTTGGTACTTGTCCAATATACCATCTTCAAGATCGACGCCATATTAGAGAAGTGATAACCCCACCCCACTCCCTTAAGAAACTTATCAGACCAAGTATGTCTTACAGGTCTTAGTGTCTTACTCCAGTTCTTTAATCCAGATGATGTGATCGATAATTTTGCAAAAGAAAAAAGACTAGACTTTACACTTTAAAAATATCTAATTTAAAATTGTATAAATTCATCACACGTGTAATTTTATTCCTTTAACTATTAAGCATACTTTAAAATTTTACAATTAAGATAAGATGTTTAGAAAGTGTAAATTGAGTCAACTTTGCTGCAAATACAAAACCATTTGTGTGAATCATATTATACTGTATTTATGCATTAGTATAATTCGTAAATTGTGTAACAATATTATGATTGTTTTGGCTGTGAACTATTTGTATCAAAACATTTATTCAGGAGAGATGTGAATAAGTTTTTAAAAGAATGAAATTTAAAATTGTATGTCAAACATGTATTACATTAAAAACCAAACAATTTGTGGTGGTGTATTAAGTTATTCAAAATAGTAAAATTTAAGGTTAGAAAGGACATATTAAAAACAATGAATATATTATGTGTGATGTCTTACAAAATAAAAGAAACTTCATTATTAACTATTAAGGTAATATAATTTTTATTTGTATATGACATATTAAACTAACATAATATTGAATCCCGGAAAAAAAAATACAAAAGAACAATTTTATAAGATTTAAAGATGTATTAATTGATTATGAAAATTAAATATATATTATTGGGTATCAAATATATAATATCATAATGGAAAATGCTATGACAATTAATTTTTGTATTTCCAATCATATGGTTTATTGAGCGGTTTGAGAGTAAAAACACCTATTATCAATATTGTAGAAGAGAAGTTAATCTGTGACTGTATAAAAGTAAATTTTTCGATATTTTAATTATTAAACTCAATAATTGAAATTCAAAAAGTAAAATATCCCCCCCCCCTAGAAACACCACTACCCATAATAACAATAAAAATAATGATAATTTACATACAATTAATGAAGATAAGAAATCTACTGTATTGGACAAGTACAGTTATTTTTTTTAACTATAAAAAATGTTCTTTACACTTTTTTATATTTAATAATTTTCTATTTATTTTATATAGGTATTCGTGAAATTATGTGTTACATATTATTGTATAGAGCAATTTTTAAAATTTTAAGTGTTTTCAATTCACAGTCTCTGTTATTATATATTTTACTTATGTTTGTTATGTTTAGAATATATTCTAAATATTTAATATTATAGAAGAAGTATAAACCAAATATGTACATTTCAATTATTTTAAACCAAAGCTGGCACTAACTAGTTAGAAAGTTTAAGTTAAAGAAAGTTACTTTCTAACATAACTAGTTGAATTGAATGCATGAAATTATCTGATACTAACTAGTTACTAATGAAATCACTGCAAAAATCCCAATTTTTATTAGAACTCCCACACTAGTGGAATATAAAATTAATAATTTATATTTTGTAGAATATTTCATAGTTTAAACCACAAGTGTATTATCTTGGTGGTGGTGCCGCAGTTGCAGTTAAATGCTGCCAAATACAATTTACCACAACCGCTGCAATCGTGTATCAAATATCTACATATTCTTACTTCCTATTGATTATTTGCTAGAAATTAAGGTTAATACTCAAATTTAACAATTTAATTAATCAATTATCGACAAATAACTGTAGTTAGACAATTATTAATTTTATGCAATGCCTACTTAACATTTGAACGAAAGAATTTTAATATATATACTTTATTAGTTTTTACATTAAAGTAATTTAACTAGTTGAAAAAAATTACATACTTGCCCAGCTTTGTTTTAAAATTTAAACATATGGTATACTGTGGAATATTATATATTATGGTAACTTAATAAGTTTATAATGCTATGTACGAGCTAGCAAGTAAATTGGTTAAGTTATAATAACTATAATTTTTTAACTGCTTTTATTTTTTGTTTTATTCATAGTGCCATAGTGGAACATTGAAAATCATTTGAAATTTTACAAAATAATGTTATTTACTATTATTTTTTCATAGTTACCACTAACCAGCAATAGATAATGAGCCAACACAACAATAGATTAAACCACCATGACTTTCAGCTCCGGGTCGTGATCCAAAACCTCCATCAAAATTTTGGCAGCTTTTTATAAAGTCTACAGCTTTAACCAAATTAATCTCATTATGTTTACCCTAAAAAAAAGATTAATTCATATTAATGATAAACAATTATATTAAATGGTATTTAATGTATTATTACTAAAAGTGATAAACATGCTAATGCACAAAATGAATAACGAGTATCTATTTCTCCCCATTTATCTCCAGTAAAGCTGCCATCGTCTTGTTGAAGCTTAGTAACATAAGACACAATCTTTTCAATTGGTAATTCCAGTTCTCGATTAAGAAGACAAGCAATCTGAGACAAAAAATATGTTAAAAATAATTAAGTATGCACAAATTAATCAAATAAAAAGCTAACCATTTACTATTCATTCATAAACTTATTGTAAAAAAATAATTTACAAATTGCATATTTCACATTTAAATAAACAATATGTGTATGAAAATATAGTATTTAAGACTTAAGAGGACACTACAACCACACATGTTGCCTCTATCTTAAATGCTTGTTATATTTAATACTAGAGTGAATTCTAACGTATTATCAAATTTAGAAGTAAGAATATTATCTAGTGCTATAAACATTTTTAAAATATACAAACAATTTCCAATTTAAAATGTTCATAGCTAATTTTAAAATTAAAATATAAAAATACTTATGAGATACCTGATACACTAGATAATATTCTTACTTTAAAATTTGACATTAGGTTAAAATTCACTTTAATGTTAAACAGAACAGGGGTAAATAGATTATTCAGAACGCACAACTTGCTATGCTTGTTTGTTTAACAAAGACAATGCATGTCCTCTTAAATATTATTTCTATTAAATAATGCTAACTTGAACTGCGCTGAGTGTATACAATAAATGTGGATCATGACCAGGGGCTGGTGAGTATCCACCACAACTGTGTTCACAACTTTTAATGTATTCAAATATCTCATCTTCTTTCGGTATTTTTCCATCATTAATCAAATATAATGCAGTTAAGCCCCAGTACATACCGGACATACGAAGAAATTCCATCATACTACTTTCCTGTTAAGTTAAAAATATTTTTATTAAACAGTGTCAAAATGTATGATTTGAGTTAAAATATGGAGTATAAATATTTACATATTGATGTCTTTCCTTGCCAAATGATTGTAAGAAATCTATATGTTTTTTTAATACCAATGTTTTAGTTGTATTATCCAATTTTACATCTTTTTGTAACTAAAATTAGACAAAAAAAATTAAATAAATACAAATCAAAATAATTAAAAATTATATTATCTTAGTATAAGAATATTACATTTTGGTAAAACTATTTTATAAAATATCAAAATAAAAATTGATTATGAATAGAGTATTTGCATTGTATTATTATATAATATACAGTGTTGGGTAGTAACGTAACCAAAGTAACGCGTTACTGTAACGTTGTTACTTTGCTTGTAACGGGTTACAAAATTTCATTAGAATTATTTCCAAGTAACCAACATGTAATGGGAATTACTTTTGAAAAGTAATTTCTATAAAATAAAGCATAACAGTTTTGAATAATTAAGTACCTACCTAACTATTGCAAATTGAAAACAAATATATGTTTAAAGCTGGTATTATTATGTTTACTAATCTAATATGTATATATATTTAATCTTAACTCGTCACAATTCATTTTTCAATGGTTTTGACATTTGAAATGTCCAATTGAATCTAAATCACGAGAACAGTTAATTAAATGTATTATTTAATATGATTCCTTTAAATAGGTTTCCTATGAATAGCTTGTGTTTAAGTTTTATACGGTCCTATTAACTATACAGGTTTTATAAAGAATTTGCTTGTTCAATTTACCTACAGAAGATAATTTCCAAGAAATTAAAATTTTTTTTTTGTAATGAAAAAGTGTAATGAGTTACTTTTCTATTTAAAAAGTAAAGTAATTTCACTACAGTTTTATTTGAGTAACGAATTAAGTAACTTAATTACATTTATCTCTTAGTAACGAGTAAAGTAACTTAATTACTTTTTAAAAGTAACTTACCCAACACTGATAATATATTATATTATATATATTTTTTTGTTTATATTTCATATTCACAGCTTAGTCATTATCTCTATATGATTAAAATTACTTAAATATTATTATTGACAAGTTTCAGGTAGGTACATATGAATGGATAGAAGTATAGAACAAACTTTTAAATCAAATTTCATACAATTATATTTATGTATAAATTAAATCCAATAAAAATGTAATGTTTGATAGTAATACTTACCATTTTTTTTCTATTGTTATTAAGATTTAAGACCTAGATACCTTTCTTAAAAATAAGTAAATAAAATAAATGTATTGAATAGTTTCATGGACTAAGATAATAATATAATCCGTGAAGAAGCTTTTATATTTTAATAGTGGATACTTTGGCACTTTGCTATTATTCTGTGTGTATAGAAATTATATCAGCTATAGTCACAGACTTCTATACTACACTAGATAAGGAACTCTTATACAATGCACATTGTTACAAGTGAAGCTCAGCTGTGAACGGCCGCCATTTTCTCAGTTGGCAAAACATTTCATTTATTATACAAAATGTATTAGGAATAATATTTTTTTAACGGTCAAATAAAATAGTAAATGTAAAATGACTTATATAAAATATTTTTTTTTTTTTGTAAACTTAATGTTTAAAAATAATAAAATACGATATAAAATAAATCATAATATCATCTTATTTGTCATATGAAATACCATACAATTGCCAACCGACCTTGAAGCTTCAATTCATGACCGGAGTTCGCTATCTAGTAATATATAGAAATCTGTGGCTATAGTATAGTTCCTATCATAAACATAGATATTAGATAATATAATCTTATATTATCTATGGTCGTATACCATTACGATAATTGGCCGAAATTGCCACCGAGAGCGCTGCCTACCCGATCAGGTGATGATGGTTGTATTCATGACTATTGAAATGTTATTATTTGCTATTTATAGTGACTATAATTACACCTAAGGATTAAAAATTTAAAACAAGGTTCCTGTAAGTAGGATCCTGTAACCAAAAAATCTAAAAAATATAAAAACACAGTTTTTTTTATAGTTATTTTATGTTAAAATTTGGACAAAATTAGATATTTAAACGAAGAAGAACGATTTTAGTTTTGTGTTATATTTAAAAAAAATATTATTCGTGGGTTGTGGATAGGTACCTACTTGAAAGTTTTAAAGTACATTAATATTCATTGTATACAAATATGATAAAAAACAAATAATAATAATTTAACAAATAATCGGCTACCGTATTAATAATAACATTATAAATGTAATATAAATAATATAATAGGCTGAAGAACCGTCTCCGTTCAGATCGTTTTTCATAAGAACGATATTATATCATTGAATTCAAATTTAACACTATCCATTACGGTCACCCACTTGTAACTTACTGCACAGCAGAGCGACACCCACTTACCCACCATTTTTTTTTGATGATGAAGATAGACAAACTTATGAGGAATCTTGTATTAAGATTTCAAATCTTAGATTTAAAAAGAACAATTTTTATGAAGTTCTAACTCAAAATATCTATTAAATATTTTTATAATATTTTATAATATTTTTTAAATATTTAATATTTTCGAGATTTTGTCAAGATTTTAACTTTAAATGCTTATAAAAAAAATTTTTCATCCAACAAATACAATTTTATTGGTATTAATAGAAAAAAAAAAACGAAAAAAATTGGAAACTGAAAAAATCCACAAGCAGCTCAAAATAAGCCAAATTATTTTGAATATGTTATGGCTGTGGCATCCTTTTCAATTATAAATAGTTAACCCCCCCCCCGATTTGCGCCTATGAATGTACTATATAGTTACCAATTGGCATTTACGATTCACCACATTTAAAGCAAATAGAACAAATATCTAGGCATGGCCGCATGGGTATAATATATAATATCTGTGTACTGTGTAGGTACAATATATATTTTACTCAAGTTCTGTATTAAATAAAAGATTTAAAAGAATAAAAGATTCTTAATTTAATTCAATAATATGTTGTTAATATTAGGTATACAATTACCTCTTAGTTGTATTAAAATGTATCCTATTTCAGTAATTTTTTTTTTTAATTTTCAGTGTAATAATACAGTAAAAAGTAAAAGTTACACTTCATATTTTCAACAACGGGCAAATTACTGAGTAGAATAAAGAAAACAAATTCTAGAGTTCTAGACTAAAGAGATTTAATTTAGCTATTAAAGCTAAAAATATATTCAGGGAACCTTATCTACAAAAAAAAAACCATTTGTTGTTGTTTTATAGTTGCAGACAGTTGAGTTACAAGTTGCATACAAAATAAAATAACTTAATAACCCTCCTTTAGATTTTGAACAAGACAGTGTATTTTTTTAGTTAGGTACAAAAAATATAGGTTTTATAGTTGACAAAAAATTAAAATAAATAAAAATAAAAATTATATAGGCTAAGATCATTAATGTATCTTGTAAGAATATTATATCACATTAAAATAATTAAAACCGTTACTCTTTGTTTTAATATCTAATTTTGTCCAAATATCAACTTAAAACGTCTATATAAGAAAAATCGAACGAGTTTTTTGGTTTCAGTATGAATTACTCATGAGAAACGTATTAAATTTGCATGCCTTATAGGCTATAGCTATTTCGAAATTAAACCTTTTCTAAGTTTTTAACTTCAAAATAATTTTAAAATTTTCTTGTAATTTTGAAAAATGATTTGATAATTTCAAACGCTTATAAAAAATATTTATGGAATTACGCTCAACTTTTTTTTTTGCATAAATATTCAGGCTTTTCTTTTTTTTATTTACTTCTCCCAATTGTTTAGAAAAGTATTTGTCATATTTCTTCTTTGATATTCCAAAATACAAACAGGATCCAATTTTTTTCTATGAATCAGCTTCAAAGTTGATGATTCTATTAGTGCTCCAAAATGTGTCTTCAAAGTATAATATAATAATTAATAAAACACATCATTGTAAAACTCAAAGATTCGAATACATTTTTGTAAATTAAAGACGTAGGTATACTACAATATTACCTATAGGTATTAGCTGCGTTAAATTGTTACATATTATAAAGATTATATTGGTCCCATATTATTTTATGATTGAAAAATGTTCTTGATTGTTCGCCAACAAGTTTTCAATGTCCTTTTTCAAATTTAATTTAATTGTTCAATATATGTATATGTTGTACAATGTACATCGTACATGTGTAAATATAATACATTATATGTATACGGAAGATGAAGGTAGGTGAACATGTAGATTGCACAGTATTCAATATAACCTACACCCACTGACCTAGTAATATTATTTTTAGAAAACAAATCATAACATGACTCTTGGCTTTAAAAATCAAGGATAAACTCCATAATCATAAATATAAAATGTATAAACGTAAACACAAGATAAATAGATCAATAAATATTATCATCCAACGGTATTATAATACTATATATAGTCATAACTCATAAGGCATACAAATTATTAAACTTAATATTACATTTTTAAAAATTAAACAATGAATAAAAGAAACTAATAAATTGAAATACTAAGTAGTTATTAAATATAATCTAATAAAATAAATGAATTTTTTTGATTTAAAACTGCAAACATGAACCAATCATTGTTTCAATTAAAACGGTGATATTACGATCATATTAGTCGTTAAAACAAATTTAGTTCCTAAGAATTTTACTTTTATTACTATCCAAATAAATGACAAATGTGTAACGTTATATTCTCGTAATTATTCGGTTTAACTTACGAAAATAATTATATAATTATTTATTATTTATAGATAGATACTAGGTATACGTTTATACTGAGTGACGAGTGTATAGAATATACCAACTACTAATGTTTATGGTAAAATTGTGATCACGAGTGGGTGATTTCGTCTTGTAGGTATATGATGGATAGATTCAACTAAATAATCATATAAATAACTTGAAAATCATTTTATTTAAATCTTAAATTTACCTTAGTGTTTAATTAATTTTCTAACTTCTTGTAGTATAAAATGTTCCCGTTAATTTGTTAGGTACCTAATTTATAACACCAAATATAGGTTACATTTAAATATAATATGCGTAAAAGCTTAAGAGGATTTTTTTTTTTATTGAACAAAAAATTTTATTTACAATCTATAATTACATGTACCTATTACAATAAGTAAATGGGAAGGGGATGATTAGCGGGAGGGGGAAGTCACCCAATGTTGGCACCCCGAGAGGATATTTTACAGGGTAAAAATTTTTTTTTTTTTTTTTTTTTACTTTATTTGAAATATACAATCTGTACCTGTGAGGCACAATAAGTACATGCGATGAGAGATACATACATATACAGTTAACATTAGTACAAATACTAACCTAAACATATATATTTACATGAATACACGGGTTGTGAGAAGCCATCCATCAATGACACTCAACTATGGGTATTTCTACTATTTTTTTTTTTTTTTTTTTTTTTTTTTGTTTATCTTTGTTTGAATTGTTTAAGTTTGGATGGGGGGGATAAGGAGGTCACGACACCAATTGCGTTTTAGACGCCTGGGAGGATTGCCAGGTATGGTCGGAACTGCGAGATCACGGATTAGTGGATTACTGTTGGCGGACAGACGGTTATGAAAACGCTTGTAATGCGCTTTAGCTTCTTCCTGGACAGTTTTTAATTTTAAGTCGGAGTGGATAGTGCTGTTCGATATATAAGGTGGAGCATTGAGTATTTTCCTGAGGGTTAAGTTTTGGAAGGTTTGGATCTTATTAAGGTTAGATTTTTTGGCATTACCCCAAAGCTGGATGCCATATGTCCATACAGGCTTTATTAGGGATTTATAGATAAGTAGTTTTGTATTAAGGTTAGTGTGTGTGTTATTATTAATGAATGTTCTGAGCAAACGAAAACGAGCATTAAGATTTAGACGCTTAGATTTAATATGAGGAGCCCAAGTTAACCTACGATCTAGGATTAGACCGAGGTATTTAACCGTTTGAGAACTGGGAATTTGGGAGTCAAAGATGGAGACAGCAGGGCAAGGTAGAAGTCTAAGAGTGAAAGTAGTATGGACAGATTTAGCTTGATTTATTTTTAACCTCCAATTAGTGTACCAGTCTTGCATGAGAGATAGGTGATTTTGTAGATGGCTAGAAGCTGTGATAGGATCAGGACTTGTGGAGATGATTACCTTATCATCAGCATAGTCAGCGACTTGAG